TCCCATCAGTACAGTATCTTACCATATGTTTTAATCTTTCTTTCCCCAGAGTCCCATGAGAGCATGGAATCCCATGAGTATCTCAGTAAGAGACTGCTTTACTATTTTCTTAAACTTGAAGTGGGCTACAGACATCTTCAAGACCATTTCCTTGTATTTTACTTTAGGGATTAAATATGTGAAACCACTCAGGCCAGGGAAATAGAGTTTAGTACGTGATGGCATTTCAGGACGAAAAGAGAAAGGATTAAAAAAGACTTTACATGTTTGGGCACAAATGCATTTCATTGTTTTGCAAGAATATGAGAACTGGAAAATGAAGAGTCATGAGCTTAGACCCCTGCTGCATGCACCTAAAATAGGTTAAGTCCCACTAGAAAAGGACATTCCTCAAAAAACGCTAGGATGAGCATGGGAAGAGGTATTGCAGAAGCCAGTGACATGACTTGTTTTCCTCCAAGGACAGGCAGAGACTTACTTGCAGCACCTTGGAAGAAACAGGTGGGATGTGTGAGCAGGAGAGATCCTTCAGCTGAAAGAGAGCATTAGAGTCACAGGAAAAGCATGAAAGGGTGGAGAGTCTCAGTCTGGAACAAGCAATATCCTGGACAGGTTAGAAAACAGATGGATTGAAACTAAAAAGAAATTAGACCATCTGGAAGAAGGACTTCACAAAGCAGCTAGTCAGAAGCACAAAGGCACATGTGGGAGAAAATACCAAAGACATCCACAGGCTCCTGAACCTCCTGAACTCTGCAATAGGGCTGTGGTGTTTCCCAAAAATGGCAGAAGGGACCTTCAGACACCTCAGTCTAAAACTGCCACACAGACTGCTCTGTGACTACCGAACCTCAGAAACAGATGAACTTACCCAGGCTCTTCCTGTTTCTACATGCAATTTCCCAATGCTGAGTGTGCCCAGACCTCCCATATTCTGTGCAGCTTGGCACCTACCTTCTGTCCAAGCTCTGCTCACTTGGGAGCTGTGGCAGCAAAATCGCAGTAGCTTTCCCTTGGGTGGCTTGACTAACAGCAGAGCAGGAGAAGCTTGTGCACTTTCATAGAGGCTGCAGAAGCCAGAGGGAGGGAGGGCCTGTGAGCAAAGCAGTGGGGTACACAACACGGAGTATTAAAAGGTTCTGGGTTTCATTGTGCATGGGAGAGCTGACAGGAAGCCTATTATAGATGTGGAAGTTAGCTTTGGCTGAAATACGGCCTTGAAAAAGTGTCAATCTACTCTAAATAACCCCTTGCCTTCTCAGATCCCTTCATCAACAGGCGAAGGGCCAATGACTTCATACAAGCTGACTCGAGACTAGAAGCCATCACTCAGGAGAGGTATGTTATAGCCTCAGGACACTAAGGATGAGAGTGAGAAGAGGTATCTCCTTGCCAAGCACAGGCTGGTACCAGGGGTGGCAGCCATAGTAATTCTGAGAAGCCTCAGTCCCTTTCTTCAATGTGAGGTGTCTGTGAAGTCCCTCATCCCTTGGAGAAGCTGGAACTAGAGATCGTAGAGAGCAAGTCCTTACATTTGAAATCATGTCATACGCTGGAGGGGCTCTGCTTAATTTGTTCAAAGGAAACAGAAGGAGAGGAAATCAGTGTTGGATGGCCAGAAAGACAGCTCAGTTTGAGATCTTGTTCTAGTCCTCAAACCTCAAGCAGAATTAACACAGCTTTTTCTAAATCACAGAGCCATCTGGGGGCCTCCTTGCCTCATCTATGAAATGTGAATATAGGCAGTTTCATGCCTTATTCAGGGCTTGCGAAAGTAAAGGCTGAAGCACAGAAATAATCTCTTAACAAGGCACTTCTCCACAGTACCTGGTGGCCCCTTTGCAGGACTTTTCAGGGCTTTTTTGTTCCATGCATGGCTTTGGGGAACAGCAGAAGAGCTGAAGGCAGCAAGCTGGGGGTACTGCCGAAGAAGGACTCTTCTCCAAGTTGAGGCAGGAGCAACCTCCCTCTCCCCACTACCCCAGTTAGCCCTGAAATAAAAGGTTGCCTGCAGAGGCAAAATGTTCCTGCTGTAGTCACGTTGCTCCCCTGTGTGTGGTGAAAACAGAATATGGTATGAGGAGCTTTTTGCAGCTGGATGATGGAATCTCGTTATGGACCCTTATAGGGAGTTGTGGGCCAGAAAAGGGCTGTAGACAGATTTTTAAGAGGACAGCATTTACCCTTCATCTCTCCTACTTTTGCAGGATCAGGGAACGTAGTAAAGCGCCCTACGAACGTCAGAGGGAGATGTGCGAGGACTACTACCCATGTGAACTGTATGCTTTTCGCCATGGCTATGCTGCTGCTTACAGGCACTATTTTGGGAGGAGAAGAACCAAGTAAACAATGACCTAAACCTACCCTGGGGCCTGGAGCTCAGGGTATTTTCCCAGAAAATGCAGTGGCTCTGAAACATACTCAGTTGCTTATGTCCCTGTATGTTATCCTGCCTGCTGCTTCTCTCCCTTGTAGCCATGGATTCCTACACCGTGTTAATTAGCCCTGAGCTGATGTAACAGAGATCAGAGAGAGTTCAAGATGTGGGTGTTTACTACACAATAAATTGCTGGTTTGATACTATCTTCTTCTGAGTCGCAGTATTTTGGGGTGGAGGTGTGCAATTTTCCACGAAGAAGCTGAGTCTGTTTATTATAGAATCTGGCTTGGATTATGGAAAATAAAAGTCATTACCTTGCAGTCCCATAAATTTGAAATTATCTACAAAGCTTTCATTCCAGGATCTACAAGTGGCTTCTTTTAGAGGTCACTGGCAAATTTCGGCTCCCACTCTTGAGAGATCCTAAAATGGCATGGTGCTCAGAAGGCAGGGTGAGATGCACTTTTTGAAAATGAAATCTAAAATATCCTTCCTTAGTTGGGGAAACAAAATTCATAAGGCATCTATATAATCTTAAAAAGAAAGTTGGGGAGAGAGTAAGTGACAGAAAAAGCATGTAAATTGCAACTTCTTTATCCAGCTACCCTTGAGCCGTGAGGTAGGATACTCCTGCAGGAAGGAGTACGTGGTTCAGGCTTTACTCATATTTCCTTTTGAAATCTTCTTTCATGCCTGTACTTCCACTTGGAATGATTAGGGTAGCACTAGAAAGCTTCAGAAACCAAAGGTGAAGAGGGGCTCTGGGTTCTGAATGCTCCATCTCTGGCAGTGTTCAAGGCCAGATTGTACAGAGTCTTGGGTGACACGATTTAGTGTGTGGTGTCCCTGCTCATGGTAGGAGGGGTGGAACTAGATGATCCTAAGGTCCTTTCCAACCGAAACCATTCTGTGATTCTATGGTAACTTAACAAATAAAAGAAACTCAGTGTTTAGGGTCAAACCCAACCTTGTTTACCTAGAACAATTCCATTTTACTGTTCATAATTCCTTGGAACCCAAGATGTGTCCTGGCCTGTGCACAGGTTGTTGTGCACCTCCCAGCCCATTGAGGAGTGAGTGTGACTGCTGTCAGGTTATCACCACCACCAGCACCAGGGGAACTCTCAGCAGCCTGTCCCCAGGCCAAGAGGCACCAGCGCTGACATGCCCAAGAATTCAGTGCTGCTCTGGGCTGGGCAGCAGCCACAGCAGCTCGGATGCTACCTGTTGTGGCATGTGTACAAGACATAACATCTTCTATCACAGCACAGCTGGTTTCAATAATCGCATATCCAGACTTCCATAAGCATTTGCAAATTATAAAAGTGGCATGCTATCAAAGGCTATGAGGTATAAAGTATCAAATTGTTGACTAATTTGTGAAATTAAGTCTAGAGCCAAGTCTACCTGCCACATTAGAAACACAGATCTCCTTCCAAAATGTGCTTCAAGGCTTTGCCAGCTTTGAAAATGAACTTTTGGAAAACAATGTGATTTATTTATTGAAAACACTTCTGAAACTCCACCCTGACAGTTGCTAAAGTTTTGTCCAAAGGAAAAAGTGAGAGAGAAGTTTGTTTAAGGAAAAAAAGCCATACGGATTAGGTATATTTGTACCCACATTTGTTCTGCATGTTCCCAAGCAGGTGAATCTTACGATCAACAACTAGAGCAAAGCTTTCATACCCAAAAGTCAACAAGTTCACAATGTCTGGGTTTGACTTGACACTGTGACACTACCAAAACAGAAGGCATAGGGCTAGTGCTGTCTGGGTCTGTGTCCAGAAATATCTTGTGATTCCAACTTCAGATTTACCAGTATGAATAATGAATAGTATTGGAGATTTCTGTGGGATTTTGGTAGTGTGAGCAACAACCAAACACATTTAAGAGACTACATGCTGGTTAGAAAGCCTGGGAAAAGTTGGAAAGGCAAGTAAAGAAGTTTGGATTACATGGAATGTATATTTATATTCTTTCAAGTATTCTTTCGGAAGCAGAGCTTTCCTAGAATGCCTATTATTTATAGATATTTATTTATTTTTAAACTGTTGGTCTTCAAGATACTTTTGCTTAAAATTGTTATACTGGACTGTATATAAAGTTCAACTTTTTTCCTCTTCCAAATTCTGAAATCTCTGTAAGCTGAAAGACAGTCTCAGGATTGGCAAAATCCCTAATGGCTCTGACTGCCCCAGGGAGCTTTTTAGCTGTTAATTTTGTAATCCTTGGACATGTTCCCTGCATGTGGGTCTAAGGAGGACTGGATTTGAGGTGGAGGAAGATGTGATCCATATGTTGTTTGTGAGACATGGTTTTGGGAACTTAGATGGTGGGTTTAGGGAGTATGAGGTTATTGGTAGATGAGCTGTAGAAGAGCCCATGAGAAGCTCCTGACATACCGAATAACCACAATCACCCAATTCCTGAAGAGTAAATCACTTTGGAGTCTAAAGGTTTATTTGATTTTTAGATAAGAGAAACCAAACTGAAACCTCCAAACTAAGGGGATTTCTGGGAAGAAAAAAGAAAGACCCTCCCTCAAACTAACTACCCAACATTCCCAACAGTGTAAAAATCTCAGCTCTCCAAAGTGATTTGGTGAAATTCTCTGACGCAAAAATCTACTCTGTGTTTGCCCTATGCAAACTATTTCATGGGTTTCTTTACCTTCAGGGGAATGGGTCAGGGTGAGGTATGGGAAAAGGGTCACCACTGGGTTCAGTGTCATTTGATTTTCTACGTGAGAGAGTCCCATCACATGGAAAGAATGTTCTGCTTCAGGGCGTACTGGTTTCTCCCCTGGCTTTCAAAGCAAGAAACTAGTGTGACTTACAAACATGAATGAGTTTCATGTTTATAATAAAACTGATTTTTTCTTTATCCAGTTGTTTTTCTTCAACTGCCTCATTCAAAACCTCAGATAAAATCTTCTGGAAATGCCACAGGTTCTGAGATGGATGTCAAAATGGCTGCCAGGACTAAATATCTCCTGGCTAGAAGGACATGTTTTGTTTTGGAGCTCAGACAAAGGAACACAAGCCAGAGCCCTGATGTCTCCAGGAGATCATGGGATATAAACTGCTGCCCAAAAGCAGGCTCTGGAGAACCTCAGTAACCTCCAGGAAAGCTCTGAGGTTAGGGAGACGAGCACAGCCAAGGAAGACATGAAGAGTCTGCTGGCATCACTGATCATGATTCTGGCCCTGGCAGCTCTCTGCTGTGGTGAGAAAGGTAAGGGGACATCTTTCTAGGAAGGCTCTTGGGAGTGCTGTTCATCCCTGTAGCTTGCCGCCAGCCTCCCTTTGGTCTGCAAGAGACATCCTTGCAGAGACAAGGTGCACCACTGGTCATCACACAACTTCACATCTCTGTCCCAGAGACAGAACCATGGCTGTGAGGGTCTGGGGACAGAAAGCCTTGTCTCTTGCTGGGCACTTCCTTCTACTGATCAAACCCTACCCCCTAATTGCATCCCTGAACTGCAGCAGAGAAATTGAACATTTGAATATGTTTAAGTATTAAACCAGTTTAGCATTTAGGTGAATTGGCAAAGGTGTGCTGGATGCTCTCTTTTGAGTAAGAGGGCTGAACTGCAGGCAGATCTGTGTCGACCACGGCAGGGGGGAGGATTTTGTACCTGCCAGTACTCAGTGCTGTAGGATCACAGAGATAAGCACCAAGTCAAGCCTTCAGTTGCAGGGAAATGTGGAATTTGGGGGAAAAGCCTCCTATTAGTGGTTACAAGGAAATTAGTTGTCCCATTGAAATAAGAGCACATCGCATTTGAAGGCTATCTAGCGATGGTGACTTAATGATAAAAAGATAGTAACATAATGGCAGCTCTATAGTTGAAGAGAGAGGGAGGGGGTAAAGATCATAAAAACAAGTGTTTTCCCTTTATGGCAAGAAGATTAAAGCTGAGCAGGAGAGAGCTCAGTCTTTTCTTCTTAACTCATTCAGAGTTAAATTTTGTTCAGTCATGATTCAATACTGGCAAATATATATATTTATTTAATTAGTGTTTTCCTTCTGTCAATCTCTTTCTCACTTTCTCAGTCTGGCATATATATCTGCTTTTTTTTAGTCATTATTGTGTTCCAGAATGCTTATCTGCATTGGAGTAACTTCTAATTTTATAATTTTTTTTTTTTGTTTTTTTTTTTTTAAATCCAAGGAATGTATACATTGCTTAAAACCAGAACTACACACAACCCTTTTCACATAACATTTTTGTTTAAGCACAGTTGTTATTTTTTTGGTCTCTAGAGCCCTCTTTCTGCCCCTAAATACACTTACGCCAAATACCTGGTGACTTGGGTGGAACTGACACTGTTGAAAAAAGGTATGGGGAAATGGTGGAAGAAAAAAAATTTGTGAAATACGGAAGTGTAGGAGACCCAATATTAGGAGACCTCCTATTCCCTTAGAGGATGCTTTCCTTGGGTGTTTCCAGGGAGCATTAGGGATTAAGATTAGGACTGAACACAGAAATACAGTGTGTAAATTCTTCCTGCAAGGGCTGCGGATCCAGGTACCTCAGCCTGAGCCAGGAAGCTGTAAGGACAGAACTTTTCCTTATTTTTGGCCCTATTTCTAGTCCTTATCAATGACTTCTGATTTCTCCCCAGAGGTAAGGAAACCTCTCTTTCCAAAAATAGATGAGATATTCAGCTCTCTTGGGGTTCTGTCCAAATTGAGGTTTTACTCAAATGGTCCCGTAGCTCTAGCTGTCCCTGCTCTTAGCAAGGGTGAGGAGGTAGATGAAGGTCTTCCTCCAGCTTCAATGGTGGTTATATGTTTATTGTGTCATTTAATCTGGATCAGAGAAAGTTGAAATTAAATAAACCCAGGCACAACGAGGGAATTCTGCTGTGGTAGAAGTGTCTGTCTCTAAATGGTGGGTGCTACAAAACCCTTTTTGGAAGGAACAGACCTTCTGGAAAACTGGGGGAAGCTGGACCCAGGCAATAGACAGAGGGATTTCATTACAGAGCAAAGCAGAGGGGGAGGACTCATAAGCAAACTCCTTTGTGTCTGTCTTCCAGGTCCCAGCACTGACAGTGAGTATATCATTGTGACTGATGCTCAGCTCCATTCTTCTGCATCTGCCTCCTTTTCCCCTTTAATAGGTAGGTTCAAGGGGTGAACAAGAACCATGCTGAGCTCTTCCAGTTGCTCCTTTTTAGCTCCTGCAGCACTGCAGTCCCTGATGTGCAGGAACACCTTCAGTGAATAGAGGCACTGCCTTTCACAGCTATGGTGGCAGTGGACACAAGGGAGGTCAGCCTCCCATGCAGGCACCCTAGCATCACTCCAGGTGTGCTAGTGACGCAGCCTTCATTACCACAACCGTCCAGCAGCCCCCAAGGCAAGACATGAGTCCTGAAGGTTGTTAGCAGCTGGATGCATCTGCTCTCTGTGAAACTGTGAGCAACGCAGCCAGTCTCCCTGCTTCTCTGGGCTGGCATCAGAGACTTATCCAAAGTGACTGTTGCATCCTCAGACTGCTAAGGGGGCAGAATCTGCTCCAGGGCCTCCAGGCTCTGCTCTTCTGTATCTTCTGAACAGTTAGTCTGGTGTGCAGGATCACAGAGCAGAAAGGTTTGGTGCCACATAGCAACAGGTTGTGACATCCCTGCCAGATCCCTCAACCTGGAGAGACTGAAAGCAAGCATCTTCTATGGCTGCTCCAGGCTGCCTCCTGAAGTCCCTTCTGTTAGGTTGCCAGGGACATGTGAATTGCACACCTTGGGATGTCCACAGATTTTGCAGCAAGCCGATCCTGGCAGAAAGCTTCATGGAAAATCCCTTTTATTCCCTCCTGTCTCTCTGTTCTCACACCTTAAAGGATAACATTGCTGCTGAGGAGCATGAAAGCTGGTATTTCTCCAGTGAGCCAATACAAATACAGATTGGGAAATAAAAAAAGATCGAAAAGAGTGTTCAAGGAAAGGTGGTGATTTCTGACTGCTTATTAGCTGTCAGTTTCTGTGTAGTCAGCATTTTGATCCATACTTAACCCCAGCTTGTTAGAGAGGGGGCACCTCTCACTGAACGGAAACGCAGTCAAATGCCTCACGATGATGAGGGAAGGGCACAAACCCCAACATCACCCTCCAGGTAGAGTCCTCAGAAACTTGCTCCTAGAAACTTAGAAACTTGGCAATTTGCCAGTTGCCCTGCTGAAACATGTATTAATGCAGAGCTGTCTGTGTTGCTGGTGCGTCAGCATCTGTGCACACCTCTGTTGTTGTGGGTCCTTACTACGGAGCAAGACTGTGCTGTGCTGAGCCCTGGCTGGGGGTGAGGACCAAAGTGGCATTACCTGCTCTTTGTCAGGTGCTCCACTCCACAGTACCCCGGTGTTTGTAAACCACAAATTCAGGGGAACAAACAAGCAACTGTGCTGACAACATGTTAGTGGAGACCAGGTGCCAATGCTGTCATGGCAGGAAGACCTCTCATATTCTCCAAGTCCTAGACAACAGGATCTTTTAATCTCCTGTGTGTATTTCTCCTTTGGTGATTTTTGCTGACATTCTTTTATATCTTCCAATTTTCATGGCATTATGTACATGTGAGCATCGGTATGTTTGTGCACTGACTGTTGCTTATGGCTCACTGGAGGCATTTTAAGGCCTGATGGCTGGTATCCCACATCACTCTCAGTCTGAGTCAAAATACAGAAAGGAAGCCAAGACTTTGAAGTTAACCAGACCAGGGAGAGAGGGTGTCATTCCCTGAATTTTCTCCTTACTCATATTTTATGCTGTCATGACTTTGCCATCTGCACATTTGCCGTGGAATTAGATGACCCTGTGTGATAAGAGAATGGAGTTTATGACAGAAAAGGCCCTTACTCCGTGGAGTTGTGCAGGTTGGAGTGAGGAGGGAGCCCATCTGTTGGGCTTTGAGTGAACAGTGGGGTGGTAAAGATGAGGATTAGGATGATTTGTGTCAGTCACCTGCTTGTGAATAGACTGTCCAGTTCCAGAGGTTAGGCTGGTCTCTACTTCTCATAGATCATGGGCCTGCATCTCTAACCTGCTGTGTTCTTTCTTGGTAGGTATCAAGATTAAAAAAGAAGTTGCCAATACCTTTGTGAAGAGGCAGAAGAGATCCAGCCTGTATGAATGGTAATGACTCAGGAGTCAGGCTGAGAACTAGACTCTGGACCTGTTATGAAGAGGGGATGGGAAGGCAATAAGACATGACAAAGCATTGATTTGTTGTACATCTATGTTATTATCTTCATGAGTTGTAGCAAAAACAGGCTATAGGAGACATTTATAGACAAATGTTTTTTTCATAAATATCCTTTTGAAAACTCAAAGGAATACCAGCTGGACTCTGATATTCCTCCCTGGGAGGAAGATAGTACTAGCTGTCTTGGCCAGCCATGTGGAGAGCAGGATACAAGTTAGAAGCTTCCCTGGCCACAGGGTCATTAGAACAAATCTCCAGGATAATGAGTATCACAGAACCTTGGTCAATGCCTCTGACTCCCTACAAAAGAAGCACAGCTCTGTTACAGGGATGTGGCTAGATCAGATTGGCTGTTCTTTCTGAAGCTGTAGATCCTACATATATTTGTGCTGAAATCCTAGACACAAAGATTTGGAGAAATCCTACCTCTAAACAGTTGGAGAAATTTGAGGTAATCCAGGAATGTTTTTCACATATTTCCTGGAAAAGGTTGTTAAGCCACTCTTGTGTAGGTCTGTGCAAAAAGATTTTTATTCAATCTGTCTTTGGACTGTTGGGTTTAGACAATAGAAGACTGGGAGACCCCATCATTAAAGGAAAGGATCAGAGTACTGTAGCAGAGAAACTTACTGATATTGAAACCTGCAGTGATTAAAACCAAGATGAAATTCAGTAGCGGCAACTGTTATTGTCTGTATTGACTACCCCTTATAGGTGAGGCATCATAAAAGCAGCTTCTGTTATAAGCATTAAGCAGGAAGGATTGAGGCAGACAGACATTGCGGCATATTATTTGATCATGATGTAAGCTTAGTTTGGTAATATGGATGCAACAAATGTAATTCAGGGGTGCTGCAGGGTATTTTCAATACAGAAATAAAGTAAAAAGTCTTGAGATACTGGTGGGACTCTTGTAGCAGTATGTACAGTCTTTGGGAAAGATTAACCAAACCTAGAAGAAGAATTGAGAAGGGCATCCAGAGTGTATAGCTGAGACTAAAAGATTTGGGTTAGCTTAGCCTGGCAAAACACAAGCTGAGCAGGGACAGTGTTGCTGTCTACAGCAGAAGAGAGGATGATAACAGGAAACTGCTTAAGCTAAAGGAAGATAGTGGCTAGTAGGAAAGTAAGAAGAAACTGGGTGCAAATAAAGGTAAACAGGAAATAGTTAAATAAATTTGCAATCAAAAATATTAATAATATAAATAAAACCAGCAGCAGTAACAACAACAAAAATAACAATAACAATAATAATAAAGATTCCTGAGTAGTTGAGGAATGAAGTTGGGAACAAAAAATAGCCAAACTTTTTCCATAGTATTCTTTGTTGATAAAATCTCATGAACAATTGCTTCTATTGTTTTAAGTTGGATTCAATTCCATTTGTTCCCAGCATTGATCAAGCAATCTATCGTCATGTAAGTAGACCATGAGAAGTCCCCTGTTGGGACAGCCTGGGGAATCACTCTTCTCATGTTAGTGTCAGCAGTGTGAACCCTTTGCAACTGCATTAACTGAATCTGCATAACAGCATCTTTCTCTTTGTCTACTCCAGGTACTATGAGTATTACAAAAGTCCAATGGAGCAGATGCATGAGCGTTGTGAAAACTACCCCCCCTGTGACTATCTTTCTGACCAAATAGGATTCTCCATGGCCTACAACCGTTTCTTTGGGAGATACTAGGGATGGTACGGTCACTTTGTTTGTTTGGCTTTGGACCACTCTGAACAACCTGGGAGAAAGAAGGTTGTGGGTGGGAAGGAGAGAAGAAAACCATCCAGACTGGGGTCTTCTTCTGTTGTCTCCCTTACCAGTTGGAACACCAAGGCAACAATTATTACACTTGTTAAGCTTGCATTAGCTTTTTTCCTGTCACCAAAAAAGTCTCTCTTCAGTTGTCTTTTGTGGCATTTTGAGCTTCACCAGAAAACTCTGTCTTACCCTGTTCCATTTGAATCCCTAAGACACAACCGGTGAAAAAAAAAAGGGATTACTCTAAGGAAAATCAATATACGCCTTAGCAACACAACTAGACCTTTTGTCCTCTTCTGCAAGATGAGGGAGGGTTATAGAAGAAGGATGTCACACTGTGTGTAAATGCAATGGATCTGATCCTAGGATGCTCACTGGGAAGAAGGCAAAATGGTTGTCTCCTGGTACAATGACTGGGAAAGTTCACTATTTTCAGGTAGTATGATCACCCCAAATATGTGCTAGTGTAGGATCATTTTCTAAAGACAGAAGTGTGGAAATACTATTATACTCTCACAAAATTTGCCTGTATAGCAACAACAGATAAATCCCAAAAGGCATGTTTAAGGAGTCCTTTTAGATGAAATCTTCCATTTGTATGCTGCATTCGGTGACTGTCTGTAAAAAGTAACTTGGAAATCTCTTGTTGTTTGTGTTACAACTGGTTTCTGGTGAAACTGATTATACCCGAGCACAATAAAAAAATAATCAGTTCTTTCTGATGCTTTAGCACTTACGCTTGAAACTTAAAGTGCCTAAATAGCTCCAAAAAAAAAAGAGAGGAAGAATTAAAAAAACTCAATAAACACTGAAATAAAAATAAAATCGGTTCAAGAAAACTTGTATCTCTCATATATATACGTGTATATATAAAAAATATGTAGTTATATACATATCCACCCTCTGTACTACTTCATTCTGTCCCCTGGTGTGAATGTTATACCTTAACAACTTTCTGCACAGCCCCACAGCCCCCACTGATGTGCTTTGTCAGCTTTCTTCTCTGAGACATAGATGGTAGGTCCCATCTCCAAAAAAAAGACTGTTGACCATCAGGAGGCTGAAAAAGACCAGATCTCTCTGACTGTGTGTAAGCTGATGCAGCCATCCTCAGCTGCCTAGTACAATAAATACTGCTTATGCAAAGCAGGTTGGTATGCTGCTTCTCTCTGTTTTTCTAAACAGCCTTCATCTGTGGTTAAAGAGATGCCTGAAGGACAAAACCTGCTCTTGTGACCCCTGAGGAGCAGGGTCCCTGTGCGTGAGACTGCTTTCTCCCCTCCTGTGCCCTAGTGTGAATCGAAAGTGACTACACTGAAATTCAGGTCATGATCCCAGTACTCTGTGACAGTGACAGAGAGGAGAGCCAGGTTTGTCCTGATTTACCATCTGCTAAATTCAGCATTTCTCTGAAAGCTTGCCCTACAGTAAGGACATGGGATAAGTCTGCAGAGATGGCTGCCAGTGTGAGTGTGAGCATCTCTTGTTTGGCAAGCTGCTATGACTTGTCCTGGCTATGCTGATCTTGGCCAAGGAGAAGGCAGTTAATGTTAACAGTTACTCTCTACTTTCCTTGGTCAAACACCTGAGACTGGTTCCTCTATTGGCATAAACTGATGGGGCTTCATTGCTCACAGCAAAATTGAACTGAATGCCATCCAACAAAAATGAACAAAATGCTTGTTGAAAGCAGTGAAAATTTTGCTGGGAAAAATACTGGAGAGATTAGTGAAATACTAGTGCCTGCTGTACTATAAGTTAGGGGGGTTGTTATTGTATGATTTTGTTCACACAAAAAGAAAATCAAGCTTCCTGTCTATATTTGCATCTTTGAATTAGTTTTATATTTTCCTCTCCTGTTCAGTAAATATTTTTTTCAGGGAAGTTGCACATGAAGGCCTCACTCATGTTGTCTGCTCCGAGTTACCAGATGTCTATACGGGTTGAAGTCATTATAACTTTGGGGATCTGAGTGCAGAAATTTATTGCTGGAATGGAGGAACTGGATTTTAGCTTGGTTAAGGCCGATTGAAGTACCACTATTAATCCTCTGCTGCCCTCTTATGTCCATTGTATTTATTGTAGTTAATGATTACATTGCTTTAGAAGCATTTGAAAATGTAAATCCAGTGGGCTTTCTTCCTGATTTGCTTCGTCCTACAACATAAACTAAAAGGCCAGAAGGGAAAAGTAGAGACATAATCTGCAACTCAATTATATTCAGCTGAATTGAAATTTTAGTGGGGCTGTTTTCCCTGATTTTCAAGTTCGCACTGGAGCCTGCCACAGTTTATCTCCTTTTCATCTCTTCACAAGCAGAAGAGGAGATGCCTCTGAATAAATTCACAAGCCGTTCTGTGAACTCACTTTTAGCATCCAAAGAACCACTTTCTGAAATACAGCCCAAGATGACAGAGCAATTCTGAGACAGCAAAGTGGGAAGGCTGCATTTATCACTTTGCATCATCCTTCATGCCATCACCTCATATCACTAGTGGCTGCAGATAGCATCAGCAGCATCAGAAGGTGCAGTTAAAGATTATTTTGAAAGCAACCCATTATGAAACCTTATGTCATCTCTCACCCTGTTTCAGCAATATTCAGTGAATGCTCTTTGTCCCTAGAACCCAAGCAGATGCACATATGTCTCTTTTCTCAGGGAATCACACCATGTCTGCAGGTGCCCCCCTCACTCAGCCTATCACTAGCAGGCAATGGAAAATGGACTTCTAGAATAGAATCACAGAATATAATCATAGAATAGAATCATAGAATAGTTAGGGTTGGAAAGGACCTTAAGATCATCTAGTCCCAACCCCCCTGCCATGGGCAGGGACACCTCACACTAAACCATATCATCCAAGGCTCTGTCCAACCTAGGCTTGAACACCACCAGGGATGAAGCATTCATAGCTTCCCTGGGCAATCTATTACAGTGCCTCACCACCCTTACAGTAAAGAACTTCTTCCTTATGTCCAATCTAAACTTCCCCCGTTTATGTTTTAACCCGTTACCCCTTGTCCTATCACAACAGTCCCTAATGAAGAGTAGCTCCCCAGCTCCTTATAAGCCCCCTTCAGATACTGGAAGGCTGCTATGAGGTCTCCATGCAGCCTTCTCTTCTCCAGGCTGAAAAGCCCCAGCTTTCTCAGCCTGTCTTCATATGGGAGGTGCTCCACCCCCGATCATCCTTGTGGCCTCCTCTGGACTTGTTCCAACAGTTCATGTTCTTTTTTTGTTGAGGAGACCAGAACTGCACACAATACTCCAAGTGAGGTCTCACAAGAGCAGAGTAGAGGGGCAGGATCACCAGGATCATGCTCCTTTTGATTCACCAGACTGAAGTGCAGCAGCTGTTTGTCATCTCCTAATACAAGGGAACAAAACTGGACCAGAAGCAAGGAAGTACATAACGTCCCACTGAGGGAGCAGAGGAGCAAGATACAGAGGATATTTTCCCTACAAGGAGGAAAACTGGCAAAAGGTGAACAGATCCAACACCTCCACTTAATTATCCAACCAATCCTCTTCTACTGCCACTTGGATTTGCCCCCCTAATCCACAGAGAAGGAAGTAATGCCATCCCCATCCACTGAAGTAATCACTGCTCCCCAAATCTCTGTTTGGACTTACCTTTCCCTTGAAGAGCTCTGCTGCCTCCCGATATCTGCGCATTTCCTCAGGGTACTTCGGGGACGTTCTGTCTGTGACCAGGAGAAGGTGAAGCTGGAACGAACTCTGCATCACACCTATTGCTGTCTGCCACCACAGACAGAGAGAGAAACACATGCAGACAAGGAGACTGAGCACATTCAATCTGCATTGGTTGCAGGACTGAAGGGACATTGGTCCTTATGTCTCAGCTTAGATTTCTTTGCAAATCAGCCTCCCAAAAAAGAGACCTCTTGAAGCAGGAGGGATCCAATCTGGGTGCTCTGTGGAAGCACTTAACCTCATGACTTTGCTTATTCCCAAGATGAGAGTCTAAAGACCACCAGGATTCATCACTGGCCTCAGGATAGTCAGTGACTAGGAAAGGGGACATCCTGGATACAGCAAGCTGAAAACTAGAGGGGCAAGGAAGATGAGAGGGAAGGCCAGCAAACACTGAACATAAGAGTGCCCTGAATGACTGAGATGCAGCACCTGGACAAAATGGGAGCAAGAAAGTGGGAAGGATTTGTAGTGTCAGGGTTGGTGCCTTTCCTTATTTCTTTGGCATTAAGCTGTGTGTAGGATGGGGATGAGCCCAGAGTTTCAGCAACTCCAGGGTATTCCAGAGTGTTCAGGGTTAAAATTGTCTCTGCAGTCTCATAGTGGGAGACCTGGAGCCAGCTGTTCTTCAACCCCTGGGTAAGGGCCAAGTGGGCAGAATACAGTGGCCCTCTGTGAAGGAGAAAGTGCTGGCACTGCCCAAGAAGGAGCTGCACCATCTTCAGGCACTCACTCACTCACTCTTTTGCTCCTCCTTCTGCCCGCTTCCTGCAGCCCTGCAGCCTCTCCCTCAAACTAAACAGCAGCCAGACCAGAGCTGCTGCCTCCCCCGTGCCACTGAAACCACAGAAGTGCAAACTGTGCAGCTCTCTGCCAGCAGGAGAAAAGAATTTCCACAAGTCCAGGAGTAATAAGGAAGAGGTCAGGGAGTGCACACTGGCAAGGGCCATGAATCACAAAGTATCTGGTTGTTGAGAGCCAGGACTCTGCCATTAGTCTCATATTTATGAGGCATTTTGTATCCCTTCACTTCTCTGGTGGTGTGCAGATGGGGAAGGGGAGAGTAGAGGGGATGCAAAAGAAGGCTGGAGGGCATTAGACCTCATGGGAGAGGACGGGGCTGAAGGTGAGGGTGAAGCCACCCAGCACCAAGGGTCATGACAAGTCTGGGCTGAGAGAGAGCAGGGCTGAAGCAGCAGTTCCTCCTGCAGCTCCACACGCGGGTGCGGCTATCCACAGAACCTTGTGCAGTAGCGATCAGCAGAGCTCATCAACATAGCTGGGTCACATCTGACTCTCCTGGAAAGCCCACAGGGTAAGCGTTGCCTGAAAAAGCTTGAAGTATGTGGGGGAAACAGCAAGGGCCCCAGGATGGGAGAGAAACTCTTGGCAGGACTCAGTGTGATCCACATGACCCCAGCCTCTGCTGCCCAGCAGCATTCATAGATGTAAACAGCATATGCACTGGGAATAAATATTTACCAAAAAACAAGCTACATTAGCAGAGCTGGGAGGGCTTTGGACTGGAGACTGCAGGAGGCACTGTCAACTCCAGCACCTTGATAGGACTCCAGAGCATCTGGAAAAAAAAATGGAACGTGTACTGCCAGTCAGGGTGGAGGGGACCAGCTGAACAGCTCAGCTCTTCTCTGTCAAGGGAGACAGCCTGGGCGCTGAATAGGATGCCACAGAGCAAGACCCCAGAGCATCAGCAGAGACGCGTGAAGAAAGAGTCATGATCTAATTAATTGCTAAGAGATGCAGTAAAGGTCCCAGGGTTCAAAAGGCCTGAGCAATTATAAAGATAACAAGTAACAAGACCATCACTTCTGACTTATCTTGAGTGTTCACTGCAAGGACAGTGGGACAGGATAAGGCTTTTCTGTCCTCCAAAATACTCTGTACTTTTAAAATTAACTTTTCACCTTATTCATCAAGATGAAAAAGCAGCCACTTTTTTTTTTTTTTCTTGAGAAAACAATAGAACTTCTCAAGTATTTTAATGTGGAAACAAACTGTTGCATTTCCAAAATAAAATGTTCTCTCTACTGGCAGGCTGCACCTGGACTAGGGAATTTGTCAGCCTCTTAGCTGAACCTTGACTTCAACTTGAAAAGATTGGCTTTGAAACAGGCTGGCCCATTCTCCTTTCTGTAAATTGAGCCAGATCAACACTGTTGCAGCTATCCAGAAGTCTGCAACAGAACCCATCAGTGATGACAAAGTCTCTGCCTTGCGGCCACTGGGACTTCTAAAACCTATTGAATTCACAGCAGTGCAACCAGTGAACTGCTGAGATTTCAGAGGAGCCTAAATCCTTTGTCACGCTCTGTAGCAGATAAGAGCACTGGCATCCTGCCACTGCCAGTCAGATGGGTGAGCTAATGAAGATGTCCAACATGAAAACATCCTATGTCTGACTTTTTTGTTGTTGAATTGATGAATTCTGAAGTAAGGGATGGAGGGAATGGGAAAAATTTTGCTTGGGACATTTCCAACCAACTCTTGAATATGCCTTCAAATAGCCAGGTTTACATCAAGCCATGTGCGCTGCTGGGCCATGAAGAATTCTGCCTTCTGGCAGTAGGTCAGTCAAGTTTCCATGTTTCTCTAGGCTTCTGAGTCAAAGAGAGGGGATCTGGCTGAGAAGACTCTTCAGGCATGGCACAACACATCAAATACCATGCTGGGAGGAGCAGCACTGTTAAGGAGTGGTAAGAAATGGAGCTCTCAGCCCACCAACACCCCAAAATTCATAGAATCATAGAATAGTTAGGGTTGGAAAGGACCTTAAGATCATCAAGTTCCAACCCCCCTGCCATGGGCAGGGACACCTCACACTAAACCATATCACCCAAGGCCTCGTCCAACCTGGTCTTGAACACTGCCACGGATGGCGCATTCACAACCTCCCTGGGCAATCTATTCCAGTGCTTCACCACCCTAACAGGAAAGAATTTCCTTCTTATATCCAACCTAAACTTCCCCTGTTTAAGTTTTAACCCGTTACCCCTTGTCCTGTCACTGCAGTCCCTAATGAAGAGTCCCTCCCCAGCATCCCTATAGGCCCCCTTCAGATACTGGAAGGCTGCTATGAGGTCTCCACGCAGCCTTCTCTTCTCCAGGCTGAAAAGCCCCAACTTCCTCAGCCTGTCTTCATACAGGAGGTGCTCCAGTCCCCTGATCATCCTCGTGGCCCTTCTCTGGACTTGTTCCAACAGTTCCATGTCCTTTTTATGTTGAGGACACCAGAACTGCACACAATACAAAAAGTGAGGTCTCACGAGAGCAGAGTAAAGGGGCAGGATCACCTCCTTCGACCTGCTGGTCACGCTCCTTTTGATGCAGGCCAGGATATGGTTGGCTTTTTGGGCTGCAAGCGCACACTTCCTGCTCATATTCATTTCCTCATCAACCAACACCCCCAAGTCCTTCTCTGCAGGGCTGCTCTGAATCTCTTCTCTGACCAGCCTGTAGCTGTGCCTGGGATTGCTCCCACCCAGGTGTAGGACCTTGCACTTGTCATGGTTAAACTTCGTAAGGTTGGCATCAGCCCACCTCACAAGGGTGTCAAGGTCCCTCTGGATAGCATTCCTTCCTTACAGCGTATCAACCGAACCACACAGCTTGGTGTCATCGGCAAACTTGCTGAGGGTGCTCTCAATGCCACTGTTCATATCACTGACAAAGATGTTGAACAAGACCAGTCCCAACACAGATCCCTGAGGGACACCACTCGTTACTGGTCTCCAGCTGGTCATTGAGCCATTGACTACAAATCTTCATGTGCGGCCATCCAGCCAGTTCTTTATCCACCAAGTGGTTCATCCATCAAATTGATGTCTCTCCAATTTAGAGACAAGGATGTCATGTGGGACAGTGTCCAACGCTTTGCACAAGTCCAGGTAGATGACATCAACTGCTCTACCCCATCCATCAGTTCCGTAGCTCCATCATAGAAGGTCACTAAATTGGTTGGGCAGGATTTCCACTTCGTGAAGCCATGCTGGCTGTCACCAACAACCTTGTTGTTTTCCATGTGCCTTAGCATGCCTTCCAGGAGAATCTGCTCCAAGATTTTGCCAGGCACAGAGGTGAGACCTACTGGTCTGTAGTTCCTTGGGTCTTCCATTTCCCCCCTCTGGATGATGAGGGTTATGTTTGCCTTTTTCTAGTAGTCGGGAACTTCACTTGACTGCCATGATTTTTCAAATATGATGGACAGTGGCTTAGCAACTTCATTTGCCAGCTCCTTCAGGACCTGTGGGTGGTCATCAGGTCCCATGGACTTGTGCACATTCAGGTTCTTAAGATGATCTTGAACCAGATCCTCTCCAACAGTGAGCGCAAGGTCTTCATTTTCACAGTCCCTGCATCTGCTTTCCAAGACTTGGGTGCTGTAGTCAGAGCCTTTGCCAGTGAAGACCGAAGCAAAGAAGTCATTCAGAACCTCAGCCTTCTCCAAATCCTGTGTAGCCAGTTCTCCCGAGAGCTTCCTGAGGGGCCCACATTCTCCCTAGTCTGTTTTTTATTTGCTATGTACCTGTAGAATCTCTTCCTGTTATCTTTAATACCTCTAGCTAAGTTTAATTGTAACTGGGCCTTAGCTTTCCTAACCTGGTCCCTAGCTTCCCAGACAACATCCCTGTACTCTTCCTATGCCACCTGTCCTTGCTTCCACCTTTTATAATACTCTTTTTTCCTTTGAAGTTTCCTCAGCAGCTCCTTATCCATCCAAGGAGGTCTCCTGGCCCTCCTGCTGCACTTCCTTCTACTTGGGATGCAACATTCCTGAGCTTGTAGCAGGTGATCCTTGAATATCAACCAACAGTCTTGGGCCCCTCTGTCCTCTATAGCTGTATCGCACGGAACCTTACTAAGCAGGTTCCTGAAGAGGCCAAAATCTGCTCTCTTGAAGTCCAGAGCAGTGAGCTTGCTGCACGCTCTTCTCACTGTCCTGAGGATCTCGAACTCCACCATCTCATGATCACTACAACCAAGGCTGCCCTGGAGCGTCACATTTCCAACGAGCCGTTCCCTGTTGGTGAGCACGAGGTCAAGCATGGCACCTCTCCTTGTTGGCTCCTCTATTATTTGCAAGAGGAAGTCGTCTCCCACACAATCGAGGAACCTCCTGGATTGCTTGTGCTGGGCCATATCGTCCCTCCAACAGATATCAGGGTGGTTGAAGTCCCCCATGAGAACAAAGGCCTGCAGTGTGAGGCTGTTCATATCTGTCTATAAAGTACTTCATCCACAGAGTCCTCTTGATCAGGCGGTCTGTAACAGATCCCCACAGTAATGTCTCCCATCACTGTTCTCCCTTTAACCCTGACCCACAAACTCTCTGTCCCCAGACAGAGTTCCATACTCTCCAGCCTATCCCTAACATAAATAGCAACTCCCTCTCCCCATCTGCTGGGCCTGTCCTTTCTAAAGAGCCTGTAACCTTCCATTCCAACACTCCAGTCATAGGAGCCATCCCACCGTGTTTCTGTGATGCCTATTATATGATACCACCATAGACATGCACACATCTCTAATTCCTCTTGTTTGTTCCCCATGCTATGGGCGTTTGTATAGAGGCGTCTGAGCCGAGCTCCAAATGAAGCCAGCTCATTGGCTGGAGCGGGTGGAATATCTCTACATTGCTCCAAGCATTTATTATAGCTGCTGGCAACTGACTAGGTGTGTTGGGATGGAATGAAGCCCCCTGCCCCCCTCCCCCAACACATCTAGTTTAAAGCTTTATTGACCAGCCTGGCAAGCCTTCTACCAGAAGCAGCCCCACCAGCCTCCAGTAGACCTGGCCTCCTAAATTGAGACTTCACTTCTCTGTAGTCAGAACAAGGCCCTAACACCTCTTCTTGGCTATTTTCCATGCAGAGGAGTTATCAGAGACCCTGGGGCTTTGCCGGTGAGGATCTGTATTTACACTCATTTTGAGCTTATCCAGTGTAAACAGTTCAATATGGTGCCACTCTAAAGTGGTGTAAGGTTAGAATTGGCTACACATTATTAGAAACCAGGAGGAGATAAGGAGGAGGAGGACAGTTATCTCTTCTTCCAGATGGGATCCCAACCTACCCTGCATTTCTGTGTTGGCTTTATCGGAGCTCTACACTTTTTTGAAAGGGCCTTTTTAAGCTCTTGACCAGGGAGTGCGCTGCACCTCATCCTGACACATAACTCCTCAGGAGAGACCTGCCTTGACATCTCCAAGCCAGGGAGTTCTTCCTTTTTGCAAGAACAAGAATATCAGATACCTTGAAATTAACAGAACTATCAAGGTGAAGGACACCAGACTAGATGGAGTTGGGGGAAGCCAGACCCTTCCTTATGGATTGTCAGCTCACTTCTACCAGTAAATTGTCTATTTGGATTGATTAATGACTTGTGAATTGCTGTAAGAATCTGGTGAATGATCTTTAGTTGAAGAACTGTAACCAAAACCTGACTGCAAATTGCAAACTGCAGAATCTTCCAGTTCAAGAAAAAGGGAAACACATATAAATGACCTCTACTTGGTCAAAAATATTCTTTATGGTGTCTTAGGGAGACTCTGGGATGACAGTGCTGCTGGCTAGCCTTCTGTTGCTGATCTCCTCACAAATGCTGGTAAAAGGACTAAACATTGCTAACATTATTCTTCATTTTAAATGGTAAAATTGCTTATCCCACTGAAATAAACCTTTCTCCTTCCCTTTCCCCTCCCCTCCCCCTTCTTTTTTTCTTTTTCATTTGAAACATGTTCTTTAAGGAGCTTTGGGTTCTGTTTTAACTCTTCTGCTTTCAGTTGCTCTGTTGAATTTCTTACCTGTTCAAATTCCTTTTAACTACTTGGTTGCAAATTTCCTCTTATTTGGAGCCAGATGGTTTTCCAGGGTATGTTTGTGAGTATATCTCATGGAATTACGGTCCTCTCCTTTTTTTCCAGCCTGTCTCGGCCAAGGCTCTGTGAAAATGTTTTGTTGGATGGGACAGTGACAATATTGCTCTATTTCTTGTAATGCCTTTTAGCTGTCCCTCAGAGCAATTATGGGATCATAATAAAACTGAATCCCCATGTAGTTTATGGGCCAGTATAACTTCAGAGGCTAAGAAGGGTATCAATCTGGTTATGTGTCTAGGATGAATACTTGACATGAAGTGAATTTCTACTTATAGAATTCAATTATCAACTGACTACAGTACATGATCAGTCTACTAGGAGATCAAACAGCAAAAAGAACAATGCCATAACTCACACCATTTCTTAGATCTTATTACAGAAGATTTTTATTAATTAGAAATGCTAGAAACAGATAGTGTTACATATTAGAGGTTATTTTCCTGTTACAGCACTCAGTTGTGTAAATCCTTACACTTTCATTTAAGGTATGACAAGTCAAGCTGGCCTCACTGAGACAAACTGATGAACAAAAGTTTTGGTTCACTACTACTATACTGTTTTTTATTGAACATCAGTCCCTGAAGCCAAAACATGTCCAAGATGTATGACAAGACAGTAAGAAGAAATTTACCTCTGTGTTCAGGCTGCATTGACCCTAGCACATTTTTTCTTCTTTTGCTTATTCTTTCCCTTTTCAAAAACACTTATTAATCATGAGCACAATATTGAAATAACTGGACCGTGGGTTTGTCCTCCAGGCTTTATACCCTCACTTTCTGAAGGGCCAACTTTTCTTAAGTTTTCAGTGCCACTCATCCACATGAAATAAGAATTTTGGCATCCTGGCTGGAATTTGCCTGAGGTGGGACTTGGTCGATAGCCTGAGGTTGCTCAGGATGATTTTGTCGAAGATGCCTACTTGCTGTCCTTGCTTTGCCAGTAATGACAAAGAGGCAAGAAGAGGGTAGGGAAAAACTTGGCTTGCACCCACAGAGATACACAAAACACACGTGATACTAATCATCATTTGCTTTTATGTTGTAGGGTGCATGCCAGCTCATGATGGATATGGCTTTGCATTCCTTTGATGACCAGTATCTAGGGTGCAGAGAGCAGGTGATGGAAGAATTGGAGAGAGGAGACTATTTCCAAAAGGAAATAGTTGCTAACAAGGGCTATTTGAGTCTCTGGAAGAAGGCTCAAGAGGCTTTGTTAAAGAGCCCTGTAGGTCTCCTGAGGGAGATGCAGGAAAGCCATGCCATAGTCCTCATGGCTTACACTATGAACTCTTCCCTGCACTCTCAGCTGAACTGGGCCACATCTATAGCAGGAAGCTCTCCAGAGCACTACAGCCGCAACTTCAGTTTCAAATATTTTCACTTTTACCTGACAACTGCTACTCAGATAATGAAGCTATGGCAGAGCAGCAAGGAGAGCACGGGGAAACGTAAGTGCTACCGGGTGCACAGGGGTGTAAAAGACTTGTATATCAAAGCCATGGAAGGCAACAAGGTGCGATTTGGCCGTTTCACCTCCACCTCCCGCCTCTGGAATGAATCTCAGAAGTTTGGGAATGAAACTTTTTTCACAGTGGCCACTTGCCTAGGAGCAGCTATGCAAGGCTTTTCTTACTACATATCTGAAAAGGAAGTCCTCATTCCCCCTTATGAGACATTCCTTGTCAAAAGCTTCTCTCAGACACAGCACGATAACCGGCTGCAACTGCATTCTGTGGGGAGCTACAGCAAGTACCACTGCCATCTCGTGGAAGGTACCGTATACGGATGTTCATGCGGGCGGGAGCGGGACAGTGTTTCCAAGGTCCCCAAGCAGTCCTCGCCAGCTGCACTTACACGGGTCCCCACCGAAGGCCAAATCTGTAGCTGTGTTCACCTATGAGAGCCACATGACACAGGTTTTTACTTGTTTGTCATGAAACCTGGGAGCACATCACAGTTCACCTGATACACAGAAGGCTGCAGGGCTCTTTGCTACTTCCATTTATCCCATCTGCCATTGCAAGGATGTCATAGGACACATGCATTTGGGTCCCCAGCATTCCTATTGCAAAGGCGGATGAGATTTGCAGGCAGCTTGAATTCAGATATTTATTCTGGTGGCTTCCAAGGCTGCTACTCTTCAGGCCTCAGGATTGTTCTGGGCTTTGGTCCACTACTACTCCGGCAAGCTGAGGAAAGTGCAAACGAAACTACCATTGCTTTAGTGGTGTTTTCTCTCCTGTGACAACAGGGAGGAAAGGTATCCTTTGGCAATGCACATACATAGTTTCCTGGCTATAGAGCTAACTCCATGCTGGAAGACCTCACTGGGTCTGTTCCAGTTAATGAATACACCACCAATACCCTTGCTTTTGTCTCTTTGGACAATAGTGTGTCAATGCAACCTTAGAGCACAAAATAATTATTTAGGAGTCAGAGTTTGTGCCTGGACCTAAGCCAAAGTAGTAGATTGACTTGAAAAATGGCTCTTCTGGGCAAAGCTTGTGTTAGCAAGTTCAGGAAGCTCTAGGTAGCAAAAAAAGGTCTAAATGACTGCTCTCTTGGCTTTATTTCAGCTTCAAGAAGAAAGAACAGTGGTTCCACTGCCCTCACCTCCGCCATTCTTCCTAGTGTAGTTGGAGTTTTCATGTGCTTGGCTCACAGTGACTGATTCTCTGGCTGCCTCTAGATATATGCACTTGAATAGCGGGTGAGAAGAATTACAGGAAATCAGACTCTGGAGTTCCTGTTGCTACAGAAGGTTCAACCCTCCCTTTGCTTTCAACTGCAGCTCTCCAGCTGAGACTGTAACGTTCAGCCTGGCTCATGAAAGGATACATTCCTTGCACCTTTTCAAGTAGGAGGGCAGTTATCTATGGCCTTTCTGAAGAATAGATCAGCAATACCCTTTGCTGTATGTAGTTTTTCCCATATGCATTCAGGAAAGACACACACAGACTCTGGATTCTTTGCAGATCTCTTTGTGCCTTTATTTTTAGTGAGAAAGAGTCTGTCTGTGGGGTGCAAAAGGCACTTAAGGAAGTTTTATGTCTTCATATTTTAGCAGATTGAATGGAGGAGTTTGAGGCTCAGCATCTTGTGTATCAGATTTAGGTATCTGTAATGGAGGAGGCCAACATCTAGTGATCTGAAACCTAGTAACATGTTCTGTGAAACTGAATTACTGACCCTGAAATCCTGAGACATGGTTGCCTAGGCAGCCAGAACAGATTCAATGCAGAACTATTTTACCATTAACTTGTTTTCTGTGTGTCATGTTACTTTCCTGTTGCTGTTGGTTTATCAGTTATTTGAAATAATAAGTTGTTAGAACTTGATGTTGACCACTAAATGCTCAAAGATACTAAGCCCAGATTTCAAAAATAAAAACACTAGAAACAGCTGCTGCAGATACTTCTTTTATGTGTGTTCAGACATGCTCAGACTCTTTCCTATGTGAGAATTACAGGAATCAAGATGGACTTCTGACACATCAACACATTTATAGTTCTTGCTTCTCTTTTATCATGTGGATGCAGGCTTCAACCATTTTGACAAAGATTTGGAATCTTTCACAAGGTGGTCTCAACACCCTGAAAGCCTCTTCTAAGTAGTCAGCTGCTGTTTTCAGGCTTTTCTTTGTGGATCTGTGTCCTTGAAGGATAGCCTGTAGGAAAACAAGAAGTGAAGAGAAGGAGGATACAGAGCGAAGCCTGAGCAGTTGTGGTGGTTCATCTGAGGAGAAGCTGTCTTCTGTTGTACTTGGTGCCTCATTTTCTTGCAGCATCTTCACAATATCAGCATAATCCACGAGAAGTTCTGATACTTGGAGGGATAAGGCAGGTGAACTCAATAACTGATGCATAGCAAACTCTACTGTGTCAGGGAAATTGTCATGTTTTAACATCACTGCAACGAGAACACCCATGATGCTTTCTACTCTCTCCTTGTATTTCTCATAAAGTTCCTTTACTGCAGTGATCTTGTCCTGCAGGGAGGTGATGGGACCAGCAATCCCAGCATACAAACTTTGGCTGATCCTTTCATGTACATCTTTGTCTTTTGATTCCATGTTAGCTTGCATCTCTTTCAAAGCACTGACCAGGAACTGTAGATTATCTTTAATGCTGAAGTTTTCTTTTACTGACATGATAGGGAAGTTGGTGCCAAAATTTCTGTTGAGGAGTCGGAAGATTGTGTTGATGCAAGAGACATAGATGTACACTAAGTCATGAAGATTCTGGCAGGCCCTGACCAGCCTTTCTTTATCATTCATTAAACCAAAGCGGGCTAACATTTCTGGAGTAGGATCTGACTCTGAAAAACAAAGGAAATACAGAAGACACAGGGGAATAAAACTACATATATTGTTATGAATTAATTTTAGTTAGCTGAATTCTTTTAAATGTGTTCTTTTGACTGGTAGTTTTGCTTAGCTATACTATATAGCTATGTAAGTATGTAATGATACGTACTATATACTATAGTATATACATACTATAGTATGCATATATATATAAGTATGTAACTATATATATAGCTATATAGGTAATTGTTTAGCATAGGAAGCTGAAGTTTGCTGGAGCCTTTGGCTAAAAGCAGCTAACTCCAACTTAGATAAAGCCAAGCTTAATTTACAACCTTTGCTTAGTTATGTAAATGAAGGCCACAAGACCATTGCAAATTGGTAGATAAAGGAGTTGAATCCATTAGCAAGGAGCAACAGAGAGATAAATAACGTATGGACCTCCTGGAGGTAATGAAAGAACCCAGTGATGGACAAGGGGACCCCAGACCAAAATTTAGTACTGGGCCAAGAGGCACATGCAAGGTGCATAGATTGAAATGGTAGAAAACCCCAGGAATTTATTTTTTCTCAGTCCCTCCCTAGAGACACCCAGTCTTAAGCTGCTCTTATTCCTGTAACACTCCATTAACAAATTATTTATCTAAGAATCAGAAGTCTGAGGCTGTGCTTTGGGAAAGCTAGAGCAGAAAATTTTCTTTAACAATATTTTCAGATAGAATGTTATATTTCTGAAACCAGTATTACCAATTTTCTATCCATCTGACCCTCCCTTCCCCAAAATGTTAGAAGAAAACACAGAAACAGGTCTTTATCAGCCTTTGTAGGGTCTTACCAAGCAGGCCAGCAAAATACGGTGTAAACAGCAGCAACTATTCTTACTCTTATGGCTGCAGAAAGTTGTGTCTCTGACCTTCAGCATGTAATCTGAAAAGGAATGCAAGTGATGTAAGTGAATTATTATTTTCTTTTGGTGTTTATTGGTAAATTTATGGGAGTTCTTAGAACCATAATCTTTCAGTTTGTATATAGAATCATAGAATAGTTAGGGTTGCAAAGGACCTTAAGATCATCAAGTTCCTACCCTCTGCTATGGACAGGGACACCTCACACTAAACCATGTCACCCAAGGCTCTGTCCAACCTGGCTTTGAACACTGTCAAGGATGGAGCATTCACAACTTCCTTGGGCAACCCGTTCCAGTGCCTCACCACCCTAACAGTAAAGAACTTCTTCCTTACATCTGATCTGAACTTCCCCTGTTCAAGTTTTAACCCATTGCCCCTTGTCCTATCACAACAGTCCCTAATGAAGAGTCCCTCCCCAGCATCCCTATAGGCCCCCTTCAGATACTGGAAGGCTGCTACGAGGTATGGTGGATCTATGCAGAATTCAATTCGTATTGTTGGGAGGGGGAAGTAGACACAGCAAAATCAAATGCATCAGACATCTACATTCAAGTGACAAGAGACTGAAGACTGAGTAATACAATGTTTTGTCAGGCTACAATTTCCTGTGAAGTGACCGATATCTGTCGGTTCATATAGCAGCTAGATGTTGCAAGCATCCTTTGACAGGTAGAAGCACAAAACATACCCTTTGCTTGGGCTCCCACCTTGCTACTATTTTGACTGCTAGGGAAGTTATGTCCTTCTGCTTGCACCCAAGAGCTCTCTCAAGGCCAACTGTAGGTATAGTCCTGGGACATTACGTGGCTGAGGACTGCTCCTGATGTTGACTTTGCTTGTGCTAGAGCCTTGAAAAGCCAGACTGGTTGCAGAAGATGCATTTGTTTCATCAGCTATTGTTGTGGTTAGGTGTGTCCAAGCAGCTGAAATTTCCCATCTCACTTCATACTTAAGAATTTTCTGTCAGTGCTCAGCTCAGCCCTCTGTCTCTTCCTTCTTTCCCTTTTCATGGTAAAAGGGGTATGAAATTGTGTGGAATGGCAAAGATTTTAACCTCCACTGCTGTTTAGCCAGCGCTGGCTCTAGGGCTCCACACAACTTCCATTCTCATGGCATCAGAGGACCTGGCAAACTGCAGCAAAGAAGGGTGATATCATCCCCTTGCAGCCATGGCTAAAGGTACCTGTGCTGATACCTTTGTTGTAGGCAGGGGGATTCATACTGTACCTGTTATCTCCAGGAACAAAAGGCTTTTGGAGAATCTAACAATTGGGAACTAACATTAAATAAACTGAAATTTGTTCAAATTGGAAGGGGGCAGGAGTAAGCAAATGAGATGAATCTGGGTAAACGCCACACAATAGAATTAATGATGAGCAGGCAGGCAACAGGACAGAGGTGAAGCCCAGCCTCTGGATCCCTAACTCATCACATGCTGCTGGAAACCACCAGAGGAACACACGGGAAAGAGGATGAAGTCACTGTCCCATACATGTTTCAGATGATTGCAGGAGCACTCAGCCAAAATCAGGTAGGCAGTCTAAATGTTTAATTAGAAAAACTTCAAGAGAGAATCTCCCTGGAGCTGGAGAAATAGTCAGAAATACAGAAATATATGTGGCTTTCCTAACTCCAGAAAGCAAATGTAAAAATTCTCACATGTTAATGTGAACAGTAAAAGGTGCTTTTAGTATTAAGAGACATAAAATCTAGAGCATTTATAGAAGCTGAAATAATTATGCATAAAGAATAGATGCTAAAAAGTCTCCTCCACACCTGTCAAATACGTTAAATACTTGTCGAAATCCTGTTCCTCTTAGAACATTTTATCTTCTCAGTTTCTACAAATAAGGTAAAACAAATGACCTTTCAACAAAGCATCACTCGAGCAGGAAGTATCTAATACCACACTGAGTCAGAGAGCAAGTCAGCAACATCCCTGAGGCAGGACTGGTATGAAATCATACCTTGCACTGACATGGCTTTATGTTTCCTGAAAATCTCAAACCTTTCCTATATGTTTACTTTGCTCCCTCTAGCTTGAAGAAGAAGAAAAATGTGTTAAAGAGTTTATTCTCTTGACAGAGCTGCAAGGTAAGTGGCTGAAAGAAATGTACAGCACTGTGTAAAATATTGTGGAAAAAATTACCTTCAGACAGGCTTGTATTTCAACAGAGACAAAAAGCTGGCTGGGGAACTGTTGAAATCATTCTTGTTTTCTACATGGATCTTGTGGGGGGAGGGTGTGTTTAGTAAAATACAGCTGGGTCACTGTCAGATCGTTTACAGTTAGCAGTTAATGCAAGAACTACAAAGGACCAAAATGACATCAAATTATAGTTTTAAGAATAAAAATCTAGCTAGTACCCTACACATACCTATTTGAAGTTATAACTATGATATGTAGGCACCAACAGCAAGAGGAGGTTTATCTTGGAAATATGTGAAGCACTGCATAAAAGTGGCCCAGATTTGCAATAAGAAGGCTGAGAAAAAAGTGCCCACAAAGAAATGAGTCATCCTACTCATTCAGTATGTCCCTGTTGCAAAGTAAAACATATACATTCAAGTCAAAATCATGCTAAAGCATGATTACTTTGCAGCTGGTGATGGATTAAAGGGAAATGGCATGAAGAATGACTCCATGATCACAGGTAATTCGGTTGCTTTGGACTCTGTATATTGACATGAAAGTAATGAAGAAAAATGCTCTTTTGCTGGCAAACCAACGACAGCTCAGAGAATGATGACCATAAGGGCTAGACACAAGTGTTTGCAGGGGGAGGAATCAAACTAGTTAAGTTTTGTGCTCTGGCCTGTACAGTGATAAGGAAGAGTCGGATTCTGCTCAGTCATGTCTTAAGAGCCTGGTGAGCATCTGCTGATACTGGCTTCATCCAGGACTTCTGGGAATGGAGGGAGTGTGGCTGTGCAAGCAGGGCTCTCCCTGCAAGCCAGTGCTTGCTGCTCCAAGGCCATCTGCCAGCAGAGACATCCTGCTGCAGTAGGTGCTTCCACGGCATGCTGAACATCAGGTGCTGTCTGCAGTGTTCGATGTTCACACGTGAGAAAACAATGGTGAATTGATTACAGCATTAGGGAGGTGAATAAACAATGAGGGAACAGGGGCTAAATATCAGGGAAGGAAATACAGTGCGAGATGTGTGTTAGATGATACAGGTTAGGATGGGTTTATTATAGATATTGTTACTATTTTCTATGAATCACCAAGTGTGAGGGCTTATATGATACGTGGATAGACTCCACAACTCTTTAAAGTTGTAAAGTAGGTATGCTTTATTCAGCTGAGGCGCATGGGGGATAGTTCTCCAAAGGTATGCGCGCCCCAGTGTCGTTTTCCCTATACATTTATTCTCTAAAGTGTTACATATGCAATGTTACACAACATGCCTATACATATTCATATCCTTTCCCCACTGCATATTATAATGAGCTAAAGCCTCCTTCACACCTGCGCAGTGCCTCCTGGTGGTCGTGGGCAGGGATCTCGAAGTAAACGAGTCTTCCTCACTCTTGAACTTTTCACCTGTCTTGCACACATGCTCACTAGTCCCCTGGCTTTGGCTCAAACCGCAGTTCCAGTCTCAGCCGGGTCTTAACCAGATGTATGGTGTTGCAAGTGCAAACTTTGACCACCAGTTCCCCTTATCTGATGTTCTTTCCTTTCTTACACAAGTTTACATTAAACACCAGCTGTGCTTTTAGACAAATACTTACTGTTAACTAAAGAGATTGAAGATAATCGGAAGAACAACATAGGTTTAACATTTGGTTATTAATTCAGGCCCTCTATCATATATACTAACATTTTCTCTTGAATGTGAAGAGAAATAAGCTACACTGGCATAAAACACCCTTATGGTGATAAAGATTGTGCCTACTCCACCAGTCATCATAAAAATCAGATGCCACTAGCTGGAAAAAAAAAAAAAAAAAAGGCTGATACAGAGGTCTGTCTAGAACAGGCCTTTCCTTTGCACAGCTTATTTTAGATTCTGCTGATTAAATGAGACTGTTCTGGTTTTTAGTGAGCTAGTTCAGCTTCTACCAACTTCAGTTTCTAAGGGGAAGAATGACCCATGTTCATTTTACCAATTTGCTAATTGCTTATTTGTTGGCTATTTTTATTGCTCCATATTGAGCAATATATGCCATGCCTCATAAGGTCCTTTTCCAATCATTTGGTTAGAGATCCAAAGATCTTTAGATCTGAAAAATTAAGATTTCTACATTTACAAGCTATGCCTTGGGATTTGAATCGCTGAGTATAGAAAGAACCAGTAAGACAGAGGCAAAGCACACTTCACTGCTCTGTAAGGGCTAGGGTTATGGGTGTTGAAGAGAGTAATATATTTCTTTTGTCTCTTAGAGTAGCTTATTCTAAAGAATGGCGCTGAGTGACCTCCTTTACCCAGATAACCCCAAGAGAAGGCAAGAACTGATCCACCTGCACCAGGAATTGCTTGATTGCATGTCCACAAATTTCCGTGCAACAAATGAGCTGGCTAGAGTGCTGAATGAACACCTGGGCTGTACTATTACCTACATTCGGATGAGGGAGAACAGCACAGTCAAGGAAAATTGTGACATTATCATCAAAGCAATGAGTGAGATTCAGCATCAGGTACAGAAGATTGATAGTGACCTGAAGGAAAAGCTAGAGCCTGTGCTGTACCAGAAGCTGTATGACATCAAAGAGCCTGAGCTGGAGAAAATAGCAATAGCCCATAAATTTTTTTCCATTGTACTTGGAGAAGCAACTTCAACAGCTGGAATGGTAGCTATCAAGCTTCTCAGCTCCAATTTTTTAACGCTCACTGTGAGCAAGCTCGTCAGTCTCCTTGCACAGATTGGGGCATCTGTTCTTGGGGGAATCAGCATCACTATTCTTGGACTCGGCATCGAAATGATTCTTCATGCCATTCTGGGAGCCATGGAAAGGAATCAGCTTCTGGCAGCTGTGAGAAGCTACGAGAAGCACCTGGCTGAGTTTAAAGCAGCCTCGGAAAAGTATCGGTGTGCCATACATGAAGTGACTTCTTTGGTGAGACAGCAGGTCCAGTAAATGAAGTCAGAGCTCTCTCTCCTGCTGTTACAGTGGCTGCAGCAATTACACCCACAGAAGCCTTTTTGATTCATTATGGTAAATGAACTACTGATGGCTTTTTTTCTTATTAGTGGCAAGAGAGCAAGAGACCAGGGAACTGGCACTGAAATATATTAATAAGGAACTGGCTTATAGGTGCTTCTGGGAGGTAGCACTTCAAATATGTTGCAACTTTTCTTCAGCTATTTTCTGGAGTGCATTGTAGATAACCTTGAACTGTAACTTATACTTGTGACAATACTCCTCACTGCTGGAGTAGTGCTGAGAAGGTGTGATTTTTCTCCTACTGTGTTTCTGTATCAAAGAGGACAATATGGTGGGAGAAAACAATTTCAGCAAGCCAGTCCACATCATCATCAGGATGGCTGTCTGCTAAACTCAGACTGTGGATTAGTGCTAAATCTGGTATGCTCAATTCCATGTTTGTTGGACTGCTTACAGGGACTAGCTGAAGCATATTTAGCTGCTATTTCCTGTCCCATCCCTGCCTAAGAAGCTAGACAGAGGTCTTTAAATAAACTCTAATTCCAGTAGATTAGCAGGTAAGAGAAGCACGGGCCTACAAGCAAACACACACAATCTTGCCACACAACTGAGATAAACCAGCTGTAGTGTTCCAGGCTGTGAATGACCTCTTATTCTCAGCACTGCCCTGCTCCTGCCAACTTACAGGTAACTATTTTGGTGCACAGTTGCTGCTTTGTTGATTAAAATGGGATGCTAAACACGTACAAGTATCTGTAGGATTACAGACCTATTAATGCACCAAGTGCTTTATTTTGAATCTTCACCAGTGTGGGACTGCCAACAGTGTGTTTAGATGCTGCATTTCACAATACGCTACCAAATGTCCTTATTTTTCAGATTTTAAAAACAAAGCTGGAAGCAGGAACATCACTTGCAGTCTCTTGCTCTGATTTGCTGTGGTTTGCTTTTTTTTTTTGCTTTGATCTTTGGAAAAAGAAGAAAAAAAGTAATAAAAGAATTAATAAAAATGTACCTGATTATCATAAACCCTCTTTTTCCTTTAATGGTTTGTTTGAGGTTTTTTTATGTTCTGTCTGAAAAACCATCTTAAACCAATTAATGAAAAAAGATTCAAATCTTCATTATAGATCCAATTTATGTTTATAACCATGATAGACTAATCTAGTAGGATTGTGTATAGGATCCTTTTTTGGTATCAGCTTCCCTCATACTAAAAGCATATCCAAATTCATACATGTTTATTAATATTCAATATTACCAATATTATGCATTATATTGATAACTAGATTGTGCCTGTGAAAGTAGAGAGATGAGTGAGATTACATCAGGGAAACTCTACATTGGCTTCATAACACTTCCATTCTGGGTTGTTTTTTTTTGTTGTGTTTTCTCCCTTTCCCCACACTGTTCCCACTTTGATTATCTTTTCTGACTCCTCTTTGCTTTTGTGTTCAAAAGCCACTAGATGTCAATGCAGCTGCTGGCTATGAAGCAGCTCTGCCAGCTCTCAGGGAGAGAATCCAGGGTTCAGGAGTATGGATGGATAGCAGAGACTGACAAACTTGGACCAGCACAAGCCATGAATTGGGCAATGTGGGCCAAGAGATGCAATTCAGAGGAGGCAAAAACCACTGCCTTGCATGAGGCATCATGGTGGATGACATGGTGACCTGAGGCATCATTTCTCCAAAATGTGACATCTCCTATCTCCTGACACAAGTGGCACTCAGTTTAGAGGTACTTGTTTAGTGGCAAAAGACTGCCAATCAGCAGAACAGTGATGTTTAGGTGTTGGAGAGGCAGGAGTTGCTGGCTTCTGCTGACTTCCTATGTAAAAATATACATTCTAATTTAGGAATAAAACCCACCACCTCATTACATATTGTTATGAGATTGACAATCACCGCTGAATAAAAATAGTAGGGTCAAATAAAACAAATCTGTTGTACTTTTCAGGTAGTTTGCTGAAATTTTCTTGAAAGCAAATTCTAAGTGATGTCAGGAAGCAGGACACATAATGAGGAACGTAAAGATATACACTATCTACTCACTTCTTGTTCCTGGTGGACTTAAAGGAATTCTGGCTTTCCCACAACAGCAGGTGTGGCAGATGTCCTCATGCCCATGAGATGTTGGAAGATGTTGAAGATGTTAGAGGCTGGTGGGAAGCAGCCTGTCCCTCTGTTTACTGGGCCGGCTTCTCCCGTCACCTATGAGAGCCACCTCTGACTTCATAAAGGCGTACAGCAACATCCAGCCACAACAAGATGGTTTTGAGGTAAAAACCTACCAATCAGCTTGGAACTTTCCCAAACTCCTTCCCTCAACTCTAGCAATAAGACAGTCAATGGGATATACTTGCATTACCAACCGTTACGTACTTGAACTGAGTGCAGCATGCATTTAACTGGCTAGAGGCAAGGAAGAGCACCCACTGGAGCAGGAGCAGGAACAGCTTAGCTCCATATCTGCTTCTTAACTGAAACTCTGTCCCACAAAATAAGAGGTAGCTCCTGCCCTCTCTAGCCCTCTGACCAGTCTTGCATTTGTCCCCAAAAAATGTCATAACCAGTTTTCTGATGCTTCTCCTGGACTTGTGGAACTGCTCTTGAGACTTCCTGGAGCTGCCTCTTGGTGTGACAGAAGTGCCAAGTAAAAAATATGAGAGGACTATTGTCCTCCAAGTCAGCAGACACTGCTGAGAGAAAGCAGTGTCTTAGGGTTGATGCAGTACCACTGAGCCCAGTATTGTCATGACAGAAGACCCCGAGCCTTGTGAGGAGTGGGCAATCTTCAAAGCCTCAGCTGTCTCCCCCTCCAGTGACATCATACATGACAGAGATGTATGTAGCGTTCCCATCACACCACCTCAGGCATTCTCCTTCTGCACAGTCTATTCTTCTGGACAAAAGATTAAGAGTTAAAATTGTATGATATGTGTGTTCCAAACAAGAACAGCCCTAAAGAAGAAAAGAAACTGTAAACGAGCCAAAAGCAGTCTAAGATGCTTTTCAAACCTGTGTAGAAACACTGCAGTTGCAACCAAACTCTGCACTGCAGTGAAATCTTTCTGGTAACAAGAACAGTATAGAAGACAGGCCAAAGAGGCACAAGGAGGGGATGACTCTGCTATATACATGGCTAGGAAGGCTCCCCAGACACCGAGAGCTCCTGGAGCCCTGGCTCTTTGGATGTTTCTAGGCTGGCCACCTTCTAACTTGGACTCTGCAGTTTACAAGTAATGTTGGTGTTAATGCCAGACATAGGTTATAACCTTGCTTTTACCCACCCTGCAATGATTCTTCATAAAGTTCCAAGTTTGTCAGCTGAGCCTCTATTATTTGAAAGAGTTCAGCAACATTGTGTTGCATGGCACACTCACCAAGGGGTCTACAGGGGGGCTACAAATCCTGCTCAGAGATCAGAACACCTCTGCACCCAGGTGTATCTGTGCAGAGAAAAATGCCCTTCCTACACCTCCCCTCGGCATGTTAAGTCTTTAAAACTGCACCCATGCTTTATTGTTTGCCCCCTCCTTATTCACAGTGGTGTAATTGGTACCCGAAGAAACCATGTATCTTTATCCTGGTTCTTCATGTGCCCAGGGATTTTTTCTCGGAGTGGCACTTAGGGCAACAAGGCAGAACAGCTCTTACCCAGGGCTCACCAGTGTAAATTTATCATCACTTTACCACAGGGAATGTTGCAGGAAATGACAGCTAACAGATTAGCTTCTGTGGTCCCTCCCGGGACCAGACCACCTCTCCTGTTCTCTGTACAGCCCGATGCCCGTCCTCCCGCCACTTGGCTTCAGCAGTCCCTTCAAACAGCAGCTGGCATATCAGCCCAACAGAAGGATGCAGCAGCGCTGCCTTCAGGCCAAACCCAACAGGAAACGCACAGAACACCTGAGATAGACGAACTGCTCCCTCGGCACTTTGTCTTTATTTCCCAGAGGCTCCTCGCACACCCCCCAGCTCTGCCTTGCTTCACAACCCGTAGGCATTCTGTAGGATCTCCTCAGGAGAGCGTGGGGGAAGAGTACCGCAGTGACCACGGCCACGCCCTCTGTCCTCGTAATATACGTAGCAGCGGCGTAGCATCTTCCCTCCATAGCTCTCCCTTGACCCGCTCCCAGAGTCCGGCGGGGCGGGCAGGGAGTCCCCCGTCCCCATTCCCGCTCCCGGTCCCGGTCCGCCGCCTGAGCAGCCCAACGGCCCGCACCGCTCACGCGGTTCCCTTCTCCCGGCCCCGCCCCCGGCCCAACCATAGAGCCGCGGAATCATAGAGCTGCGGGTAGCACGTGAAAGATCCCGCTTCCGGAGCGCGGGTTCGCGCCGCGAGGTGCGGCAGTCGCGCTTTACGGCGGCGTGCCGTTCGGTCCCCGTTCAAGATGGCGGTGGGGCCGCGGCGGCAAGGAGGGAGGCGGTGATCAAGGCCGCTGCGGCAGAACGGAGCCGGGCTGGCCTGAGGGGTGAGAGGAGCGGGACGGTGCTGAGCTGGGGAGGGGGAGGAAGCGAGAGGAAGGCGCCAGGAAGGCGACGTTTTGCGCTACCGCCTTTTTTTCCTCCGTCGGGGGAGGAGGGGAGGCTTTCGTGTACCTCATGGGAAGCTTACTGCCTCGTTCCTCTCTGCACCCCAAATTCATAAATTCAGTGGTTTGTTTTTTTTTTTTTGCTTGTGTGTTTCTTCTTTGGCAGTTAAATTGCAGCATTGAAGCTGTTTGCTCTGTATTCTAAAAGGATTAGGGATCGAGATTTCAGAATTTTATTCTCTTCACCTTTACCCTTTAAATGTTAGAAATACGGGAAATACGGGGTACTGTTTTCTGGCGAGTTTCCCGCCGTGGGGTGCTCTTGCAAACAGCCAGGCAACTGCACATAGCCTTGTAGTAGGAGCCATGAGTAGAGCTCTGTAGGTTTTTACTAGTCAGAACATTAAATGTGATCAGTTCTTGGAGCTTGCTAGCAGCCCTTTCTTGTGAGGCCTTGATGCACTAAATAAGGCACAGTGCTTACATTTCTTTTTAAGGGGTAAGGAAGGGCAGGCATGTTGTTTAGTGGCTTGAAAACGGCATCTGTGTGGAAGAAGGGTGCATATGGTGACTGCAGTGAGCCTGCAGAGAACTTTGGACTAAGCTTGTGAATACTTTCATTATGGTCATGATCTATTTAGATTCAGTATGGTGACTAGAAAGGTGCATTCCACCAACTCCCAAATTTCAGAGGGTGTTTTAGATTTTTGGGGTGGGATCTATTGAGATCTGTCTGTAAACTGAAGAAATGTCTGAAGACAGGAAATAATTCTTCCCAGAATCACCTTTTCTCCTGATCCTCATAACACAGTTTGAAATAATACTGATAGAGTCAGAAAGCATAAGAGCAGTGGCATAGCAACAGCATATGGGGAGGAAATGACAAGGATGTCTGTAGAACACTTGCTGATGGACATGGTGGGTGCTGAGGAGGGAAATTAAGGGCAGCTTAAAAGTCTTGAAGGAAGGAGGAAATTTGTGGGAAGCATCTGAAATAGAGAGGAATGGGAAGGCAAACATTGGAGAGCTCTCATGAAAGTAAATGGAAAGCTAAAAGGGCCCTTACAGTGCTCTTATAAAAAGAGAGCGTGTTTTCACTGTGCCCCTCTAGTGTAAGCAAGAAGCTTCTTTGAGTCTTTGGATGTATAATAATGAACTACTTGATTAGTTTAAAATAGGTATTTGGTGAAGTAGTAGTAAGCAGGTACTTAACTGCAACTAATACTACTCTTTAATGAATTTTGTGTAACTTTTCATGTAAATGCCTGAGCTAGTAGTAGGGTTTGGGGTTTTTGAGGGAGCAACCTGCTGATATGGAGAAAAAGATTTAAGAGTACTCAAGCTACGGTTGCATAGGTACTGAAACCATGTCATCTTTTCCAGGTCTCCCTCTTTCTAAGTTATTTTTTTTGAGGCAGAAATAAAAAGGTCAAAATGGGGCGGAGATCTACATCATCCACCAAGAGTGGGAAGTTTATGAATCCCACAGATCAGGCGCGTAAGTATCAGTAAAAGCTTATGGAAATGGGGGGTAAGAGGGTCCTCAGGAGGCAGATGGAAAGCTTTCTCTGAGGGTAAGGTCCTCACTTGTGAATCGGAACTGAGTTTCCCTAACTTGAAAAATATTTTCTCAGTTTTGGCTAGCGTAAAAACTCTCTGAGAAGGCTGCTTGCTTCATTCTGCTGTGTATTTATATACTGTGGTTGTCAGTGTTCAAAGGACTTTGTACTTAGCTGCTAGCTAAAATGCAAGCTGCTGCTTGGGACACAGTTAATTTGTCTGAGGCTAGAATTTGAGGAGCATGGCAAATTTTGCATGAGAGAGTTGGCTAACTGTTTTTCCCTTTTGGTGACATGCCAGGCGTTACCAATGCTAAGCAGATAAAAAACATCCAGACCTCATGGTGAATATGCTTTGTTTCGGGTGGATACTCAAAGCCTACATATTTTCAAAGTGCATTGTCTGCTGTTAACTTCAGCTTCTGGGAAGAAATCCTTTCATGACTGCACATAATACTGTGACTTTTCCTGCCTATTATTCTTTCTTTGTGTAGAAACACCCCTGCTTCTGGAGATGTGAAGGCTCTTCCATCTCCTTTAGTTTCTGTATAACACACATGAAATAGAAGTCTATTTCATGCTGTATTTCTCTTTCGCTGGGAAGATGAATTAAACAGTTGCAATCTTGCAGTCTTTGCAAAATGACTGAACAGTTGAGATGCAGCACTAGTCTTGATGAAGGGAAGGTTCTTCATGAATTTGTCTCAAGTTGTTATTTTCTTTCTTTTCCCCTCTTCTCTAGGGAAGGAAGCTCGGAAAAGGGAACTGAAGAAGGTAAATAAAAGAGTTCAGGAACATTTACGTGGCATTCTGCTTACTGTGTACCATGTTTGTGATTGTGGCTGATGGATAGACTACAGATGTTTTGGTTGATATCCTAAGATTGGCTTTGGAATATACTGTTCAAACAAGTAGTTTAAGAAAACAGACAGAAATCTTCTTTTGAGTAACCATATCTCATCATCTACTATTTTTTAACTTGTCATGATTACAACTTTTTGAAATGTTGTAAGAATGTAGGCATTAAAAAAAAGACAAAAAAACCCTCCAACAGATAAACCACCCCAGACTCACATACTTTTTTAATGTGT